CCCCAAAACCCCAAAACCCCAAAACCCCTGGAAGTAATCTCTTTTAAAAAATCAAAAATTTATTAAATGAGAATGTTATATATTTCACGAATGATTAATGATATTTAATATTTGAATAAAAAGCAGATTCTAATATATTTAAATATCTTTTCTAAACCAATGAACAAAGCTTTAGTTCTTTCCCTCTTCTTGGGATTATGTGCTGCTAGTCTCAATTAAGGTTGGTATTATCCAAACAGTGATGGATCTTACGAAACAATCGTCGATGAAGACTTCGCCGGATTAGCTTATTAACTTCAAGCTGATGCTGGATATGGTTCCATCTACTACACAGAAAACAGCCCAGACGGTAAAATTAAGAGGGAAGTTTATGGACTCAGACTATATTCTGCTGCTAGTGCACGCTAAGGTTCATCTTGCTCACTTCTGGCATCAAGAATGGGCATTCTTCTTCTTTCCATTTTACTTTGAGCCATACACCCAAGGCATCAGCTGGGTTAGACCAGAGTCTGGAGATAAATTCCACGTATATGCTAAAGGAGAAAAATACCTTAGACTCTTAGCTTTCGTTACTTTCTAAAAGGAAAATATGGAAACATTTGAGACCTCAATGGTAGACTACCTTGAAGACGATAACTATTCTCCTTATCCTAAACAACTTGTCTATGATGCAGACTATGTTTAAGAATAAGATGACGCATACTGGAAATACAATTTTTCTTAGAAACTCAAGCTAGGAGATTTCTTGACTAATGCAAACAAACCTTGGTATGACTGGAAACAACTTTTCTGAAAAAGTTATTGTTTTAATCAACTTGTTTGAACGCTCAAAAAACTTAAAAACTTATTTGTTTTAACAATCCACACTAATCTACCCACTTTATAATCCTTTAACCTATCTTTTAAGCTTTTAATTCATTATTACTCCAAAAATTGAACCAAGTTATTTCTCCATTAAAACTATTCCAAATCATAGAATAAACATCTAGCAGAATAGAATCGTATAAATATATAGTGGATATTTCTCATCAAATCCAATTTATAAACATTAATAAATATTTATATGAAATATTGTATCACTCAGATAGACCTTAGCCACATAATATTGACTCTTGGGGTTTTGGGGTTTTGGGGTTTTGGGG